CGCCTAAAGTTTCGACCCAATCCATCTCAAATCACCTTCCCCAGCAAAGAAGCCTCAGAACACCATTTTATGAGCAATTTATTGAGGATAATCCCTACCTTCAGGCGATTCGGGGGAAGGTAGATACCCTATTCCTTGACAACACCTTCTGCGATCCCGCCTTCAGCTTTCCTAGCCAATATAGCGTAACCCAGCAGGCGGTGGAAGCCCTGCATGAGCTGCTTTTAAAAAATAAAAGTCCTTTTCCCTCAACTGGACAAAGTGATGCGAATAAGAAGCGAAATGAGGTTCATTGTGTGGTACTCATTGGGTCCTACACTATCGGGAAGGAGCGAGTGGCGTTTGCCTTCCAAGAGTACTTTCCTCGATTCGAAAGCGCAACGGAAGGGACATCTTCAGGAAAGTCGTTTGTACCAATTTACACTACAGAGCATAAATATGCTGCGTTGAAGGCGATGGCATTTCATGAAGAACGCTTTTCTAACCTCCACCACATAAGTTCCGCCTCTCAAACAACCCCTGATAAACAACTGATAGGAAACGCCTCGCGTCCGGATGGATCTGAGGATGTTGAAGAAAAGGAAGAGGTCGTCCTCGTGTGTCCATTAGACTATGAAGTACGACTTCCAGTAAAACACCTTCCGTCGGAAACGAATCCTGGGGATGAGGCGACGGGAAGCCCCTCAACTCATTATTTTCTTTCCATCTTCCTCGTACCCTTAAGTTCGGTTTCCTACCAAGCGCTCGCACGTTCCTGTGGTCGACCAATTAAACAAGGCCGCTCGAGTGAAGGCAAGCGAGGGAAAACGGACTCGAAGGTTCCAAAAACGCCTCCTTCTACTTTGTTAAACGTTGGGGAGGGCCTTGGGATTGATTTAGCCGCGTACGATATGGTTTTGGCGGTGGATCCAAGCGGGTGGAATAAAAAATGTCGACTTTATCGCGTTCACGAAGACCGTGTGTGGGGGATGAAGATACCTTACAGTGAACACTGTAGCTTTACAGAGATTCTGAGCTTTGTAGGACTTGTGAACCCCCGACGGGTGATACCGACCGTCTCCCTCCCGCAATACCGCGCGCAGGAATCGTTGATTGTCGAAAAGGCCCTACGCCTTTCCACGTACTTCTCGAATACTCAGCCGATTTCTCGATTTTTCAGTCAAAAAGCCGGCGCAGTAGAGCAAGGATTCTCTAATTCGATGCCAAAGAAAGAATATTTAGCGAAGTCAAAGGTAGAGAAAGATCATAAAGCTAAACAAAAGAACCTTTTTAGTTATTTTTCGGCCTTAAAGCCTCTCGTCAAGACTTTTATAGGGCAATATTCAAAACTTTCTAGCAATGCAACTTGTGCGTGTCATCCAGATATTTTGAATAAAGGCACTGGTTTTGAAAAAAAAGCACCTTTAGATAAGACACTTGAGCAGCAAAAATATCTATCAAAAGAGGGGGATATTTCAACTGAAAATACTACTGACGCTTCCACAAACACAAGGTATGAGTTTATTATTATAGACACTAGCGATGACGATGATACGAGTGTGGAGGAGATTGTACAATGTGCGCAAAAGGTACGGATTTAGTTTAAATATATACATATGAGTTTGCCTAATTATTTTATGCTTACACTTCTATCGAGTATGGAGATGTGAGAAGCAGTGAACTAAAGATTTTGTTTGTAGAATAGAAAAATAGAGTATCTCATACAGCAACTTTTTCCTATTCATTACATGTCTGAATTGTCGGTATATAACACCTTGGATGTGGATTTTCCCCCTTCACCTTTGAACTGTATTCCGTATATCCATTACTACTAAAAAAAAAGTATAGCGTATTAGGATTCTCCATGGATTCATAGCGTAAGCGCACAAAAATACAGAGATTAAAGCATTTTACTAGTAATCTATTTCTATTCACCCTTTTTTAGTGTATTATTTCATATGCTCAGATACGAATGCTGAGAAATCGATCTATTACTGGTTATTCGGTTGGCATAGCATGGCTCACCTCTGTGCGATATAGAGCATCTTATTTTTACATTTCTAACCGCAAGCGTGTGGAGATGTTTATGGGGAAACGCTTTCATCTCCCAACGCGTCTGCGCACAGCTGCGCCGGATATCGCGTCAGAGTGGAATTATGAAAAGAATCCCATGCATATTTACCCTGAAATTATCGGTATTGGGTATGTGATGTCAGTATGGTGGAAATGCTCGAAATGCGGACATGTTTATGAAATGAGCGTGGAGAAGCGCGTGGTGCGCGGTGGAGGCTGCGAAATTTGCGCGGTTGGCCTACTTAAAGAGGATAAAGAAAAGAAAGAGTCGCAAAAGGATAGGGAAAGCTTAGAGGATAGTGTTTTCCATGAGGTCGGAAATGAAGGGGATCCTTTGCCGGGAGAAGCAAACACTGCTCTTCGACCGAAGCGCCCTGCTATGCTCAACATTCGTACAAAATACTAGGAGTCAACGTACAAAAGATAGAACGTATGTTTTCTTTTCTATTTTTGCTCTCTGTTTATCAGAAAACATTTCTTCAAGGAGATGTTTTATTTCGACGGCTCATAAATTTAAAAAAAATCCTACCTGAATGTTTATGGCGATTCATTTCTATGTGCTATATTGTATGTTTTTGTTTTTCCTTCTTCACCTTGTCGAACCCCACCCCATGTATTTCTATAGGTATTTCCGAAGGAGTTCTTACCATCCCATTGATTTCGAATTATACATTTTAAGACTCGCATACTGAAAAAAAAATCACGAACTTCGAGTAAAGGGTTTAAACCATATGGAATACTTCCATTTTTAGTACTTTTCCCGAACACAAACCACCCTTCAGCGGTACTGTCACCCACATCCACTACGCCGTTGAAGACCCATCCATGCTTCGCTACCTCATCGAGGACGAATCGCCCGAACCGAAGCGCGTCCTTCTCCCGAGTCCGCCCGCCCCCGAGGCGCCGGTGACGGTGTCCTTCCGTGTGGGGCACGTCCGCCTGCTGCGGCGGCTGCACTACAAGGGCCATCCCCTGATCCCCTTCATCCCGACCCGCCACCTACTGCTGGTTTTCCCCTGCGCGGCGGAAGGGGGG